CTGATGTTTCTGTAGATACAAAACATGTCTATGTCTAACTAAAATAACTTATAATAATTAAAGTAGAAAACCAGGGGTTTGGGTTTCAGAGATGAATGAATCAATTGGTGGGCCAAAATTTGGTCACTCGCAGGCCGGATGTGGCCCGCGGGCCACCAGTTGTATAGCCCCGATTTAAGGCTAAAGTTGATAAACATTTTTCTTAATATCAGTTCAGTTAGATAATGCTAACATAAATGAGGTAATTTTTTCTAAATGGTTCAAATTAGTGGAAAAGCAAGGATTTGAATATTTAGCCTAATTCAATAGTTTCTTATATTTACTTATTCATCTATTTTTTGTTTTTCAAAACCAGCTTTATGTTCAAGTCAAATGACCTATAATTGTTCTAATACTTGTATACAAAAACTCTTTTTAATCTTCTGTCTTTGTCTCTATTAAACAAAAAAAAAAAAAAAAAAAAGAAAAAAAGGCACAACCAAATGTAAAGGAGACATGTTTATTATTTAAACTATCACTTAAATAAAAAAGTGCATAGAAAATAAACATGATTAGAAACTTTTCTTTTTACACTTATGTACAGCTTTGTTTCCTAATTATACATTCAACCAAGTAGTTTGTGGTTTATTTTTTCACGATGGTGGTTTTCCTTCATTTTGTTGAWGCGTACTCAAAAGAAAAATGAGCAAAACACTGCTGAACAGGAGAAAAGTCTGATGAATACCRTTATTACAGAGAGCAGGAGGATACTGATATAAGACAAAGATATATTCAAGGCAAAAAGAAAACTGGCCTGGTCATGATTCCTCTTTTTGTACATCCTACTGTAACCCACCCGTCCCCTCCCCCGTCTCTGACACTACATCCCATCATGGACTGTCTATACACAACAAACAGTTCCAAAAAAATGTGACAAATACACGTTACGTACTCAAACAATCTCTCCAAAACCTTGACTTGTTAACGAACAACTCAGGGTGGATGCTGGTGTGCAAAATAAATAAATTAAACATTTCCAACATCAGCATTATGACTTTCTATAAAACAGTACATGATAAGTAAAACCAAAGCTTCAGAGGAGAGAGAGAGAGAGAGAGATGGTCAGGGAGACATGAGAACTTTTTTAAAGTAGATTAAAAAAAAAGCCATTTTGGTGGTGTCATTATGGTCTGTCTCCACAAACCGAACTCGAAAATTTTTCCCACATCAAGTAAGCCATCTTAAAAGTCCCTGTTAAAAACATACAAATGAAACAAAAAAACATTCACTACAACAACCAGGAAACAAACAAACAAACAAAAAATTAAACCCAAAATGGCTGACCTCAAGAAGTTCACAACCACATTAATACAGTTACATTTCTCATCACAGAAAAACCGCTCCGTTCCGGAAGAAAAAAAAAAAGTTAAACTGCAGTGATCCTTGCGTGATAAAGGAACACTCACAGGCACAGCAAAACTGGTACTGGATATCAATATACAAAAGAATGATGCACGTTAGTTTTATCTGATAGTACTGTAACACAAAACCATTATAGAGTACATTGAAACATTGCTATTAACCATTATAAATCCGCTGTTTTGCTACTGTAACTAAGTTTGTCTGCCCATTCCATATATTGTATAGATACAAGAACAAGAAATTACTATGCATGTTTTCCATATATTGTTACGTATTTATACTATAATTACAGATAATGATGAAGAAGGGCCACTGATGTGGCGTGATAAAATGTCCAAAACAACCAGAAGTTATTTCCTTATTGTTTATATGCTGCTTGAAACAGTAAAGTAACTGACATATTGTTTATTGAACACTCTGAACCTGAAAAAGCAAAAGAATAAAAAATAAAAATAAATGAAGTCAAAGACAGAGCCCTTAGCATCAGTAACCGTCTTATTACCACTGCTGACATAAACCTTTTGAGATAAAACCTGTAAGATCCTGTGGTTCTACAGACACAAATCCCACTGCTGTTCACTTTGAAATTAGACCCAGTCCTGAAAACTAATCTGCGTCGTTTGAGGTCACGCCTGCGATCCTCAAAATAAATACAGCTCACAAAGTATCCGCACCGCCACGCGAACGCGCGCGTTCGATGCGGAGGAAGAGTATACATTCATGGTTGAGCTTAGCAGCAGAAGCCAGCGAGCCCGGAGTGGCGCCGAAAACGCAGTACTCTCTGGAAGGGAGGGGGCTCCTGGTGTGGTCCCTGCCTTCACTTTGTTGAGCAGAAAGAATCAAGTGCACTTCGCTAGAGCCTCAAAAAAAAAATAACATGGTCGGGAGTTCGTCYGAGCCCGGTTAACACGCAGAAACCCTCGGTGAGGGTCTGCGCTCGTGGTCTCGGCGCGGGAGTTGCATCGTGTGCCTGGAGACAGAGCTGAGTGTTCCTATGACTGTTCAGTGCCCTTTCCACAGCTCAAGTGCAAACTTCCTCTTTATGGAGGGAGGGGTCGATTTTTCAATCTAAGTTCACAACATTAAGGGGCAATGCGGGAGTACCTGCTAACGGTCATAACAAAGTCAGCATGAACCGCAAAAGACAATTAACTACTAAGCTGAGACAACACTTGTTGACTTAGTGGAAGCAGTCAAACAAAAAACAAAGAAATGCTTAAATATTCAATCTGGGGCATCGAGGCTTAGAAAAGGGATTTGCTTGATGAAAGAAACGGTTCCCATCTGCTGGTGAGCACTGAGCAATCACAYGTTTTTCAATGAAACTAGTTGGCTCAGTGAGCGCTGACGGCTGAGTTAAAGTAAAGGCACCTCTTTAATTGTAGACCGAATCTGCAGAGGGATTTCAGATTTCAAATCGAAGCAATTATTGTTGAATTTTACCAACATGGGCATTTTGTTCATGGGCTGTAGAGCCAGCGGGTTGGTGTCTGATGGTTTAACTACACTGATGCCAGACAAGCAGCCTGTGAGTGAACTTGATTCTTTGATTTACGTTGTTGTGGACACAATAAGGCTGGAGAGAGAGAGGAGATATCGGCTGAGGATCAACAATCTAAACTCTCTCAAGTGCATAATAATAGTTCACATGACTGTCAAACCAGCAGCTAGAACTGGAACAACAAAAAAATATAAAAACAAAATAACATAACAAAAAGTTCTGGCCAAATGGCCTGTGGTAGATAAAGAGCTACTGGTGGACTGAACTGAAGAGGAACCAAGCCACAGACCAGTGTCAGTCTTTGGATTCAACGAAAAACATTCAGGCTCCAAATTAAAAAAATAAAAATAAAACAAATAAAACTTTTTAAAAAGGCAGTGGAATACAAAACATAGAAACCAAGCATTAGTGTTTGTAAACCTCTATTTTCTACAAAAATGGCAATAAAATAAATACGAATTTTTAAAAATATAAATACCATCATTAAGTGCTATTTGCTATTGAGTGCTTTTCAGTTTTTTTTTCTGTTTTGTAGAAAAATACACATTATTTACATTGTCTTTCAAAAGCAAGCGTGATATTGACATGGAGGAAAGTTTATCAAAAAAAAAAAAAAAAAAAACAAATTAAAAAAGAAACTCTTTTCTCCACAATAACGAATATCACAAGAGGCCAAGAAGAAAACAAGTCGTGTCAAAAATTCAATTTAAGGGCTTGATGTTTGGTTGTCTTGCTCCTGGATTTGGATTTGTGATTCACAAGTCCGAGCTTACATCGACGACAAAGCGATCAATTTTAAGTACTCAAGCACATCAGTAGGTTTTTCTGGTCCCTTGGCTGTCAGTCCACCAGAATCTCTAGCTGCCTCACTCGTTCAGGCCAGAAGCAACACGTCTACAAAAGCTACCAAGCTGTCAGACTCAATTTACAAGATGGTATCAAACAATCCTGTACAGCAACGATCAAAAATAAATTGTCTTTTTAACAAAATCTTTCTCACCTGATGTCTTTTTCTCTCCTTTTGTTTTCTTCCCTGTGGACGATGCTCCCCCTAGTGTTTCAGTCTGTACAGCTCCCCCCCATCAGAGCAGCTCCTATTTACAACCTATGTACACGCTTACAAACGTTAAGAGGAAGGTTCCAGCTCTGAAGGCATCAGGGCACGTTGAGACAGGGAGATGTGCATCAATAACAGCTGACGTTGAGATAAAAAGAAATTTAAAAAAATATGATAGGGGTTTTATCACTGTTACAAGTCCCTTCAACAAATTGCACTTTGGTGTTAAATAAAACCAAGCTCTTTGATTTATTTTTTTTCCTTCTAAGCTCACATTAGTAGACCATAACATAAAAAACAAGGATCATGGGTCAGTGTAAAAAAAAAAAAAGTCATCCAAAAAGAAAGAAAAAGCTGATATTGCAATTACGTGATTCTTAACTCACCGCTCCAGGTAGAACTTTTAATGTCAAATGTAAAACGGAGAAAAGGAGGCACAATATGTTTGAATTTTTACATATGGYCCATCCTGAAAATACAGCCTGACCCACTTTGCCGACACTTGCAGCAGCTGACGTAACAGAAATCACCAAAATATGGCAAAGGACAGCAGGGTTGGGGGAGTGGGGGGGTGTCTTCTCAACCTCGTGGCACCGCTGCTCGAGTCCTCCTCGGGTCGTGTAGATCAGTTGAGGAACTTGCGGCACTTCTTTGCGCCGCAGTTGCACAGCAGCTTACTGCTGGCGTCCTCGATGGGGAACTTGTAGTCGTACGTCAGCTCCTCGCCGCAGCAGATGCGGCGGGACGCGAAGATGACGATGTGCTTCTGGCCGTCCACGGTGACGACGCGGGAGTAGCAGTTGGGCTCGCAGGAGTGGTTGATGAAGCGGGCGGCGTTGCCGTGCACCGTGGCGTCCACGACCTCGTAGTCGTCGATGCGAAACATGTAACAGCCGATCCCCTTGGAGGACAGAGGAGACAGATTTGTACGATCGGTTTCTCCCACGACTGTAAATAAGATTTSCCCACTTTATTCCAAAGGCCTTACCTTCCCTTCGTAGTGTTTCTCCCGTTTGTCAGTGAGCACAGACCGAATGACGTTTCCAGAGTATTCAATCACCATTTCTCCAGCTTCGATAGTTTTCTTACAGAACAAACCGCGGCCATGAATAGGAGACCTGCAGAGGGGAACGACCAATTTATGTGATTTATTGACAGGCTTTGTTCACAGATATGTAAGTAAAATTGTGCAACATTTATTTTTATTTTTTCTCCTCTTCCCCCTCAGGAGCCACCACAGCAAGTCATCCTCCTGCATCTCACTCTGTGTTCACTCTAACTACCTTCATGTCCTCTMTAACTGTATCCATTTATCTCCTGTCTTTTTCCTGGCAGCTGTGTCTCTAACGCCCTTCTACCCACTGTCCCTCCTCTGGACATGTYCAAACCATCTCAGTCTGGCCTCCTGTGCTGTACCTCTGATGATCTCATTCCTAATCTTATCCGTCCTTGTCACTCCAAAATAGGCAATGATTTACTGAAAGTAAAATGTGAAGCTGTATGAGTTGTTTGAGTTGATGTTTTTATTTTTATTTGTATTGTTTTGTAAATTATGTTTTGTTTGAATATATTCTGGGGATAAAAGGGGCAAACATTATAAGATTTATTCTTCTTTTGCTACCTTTCATTTTAATTCGATTTTTGATTTGTGTATTTTCTTTGTTTTTTTTATTGTATATAGATATTTTTTAATGAAATTAATACATTTTTTGAATTGAAAAACTGAAAATTGATATTTGAAGTGTGGTTAAAAATGACGAATTTGAAACAAAACCATCACAATTTTTTTAATTGTTTACTAACAGTGCTTTTCCAGTTGGGGTGCTTTTTTTTCTACAGAACACCTACTGGACACAACCCTCCCAAAAATAAAAAAAAAAGCAGAAAAGAGGAAGAACTTAAGAGTGTCCTAGCGTCTGCTTCTGCCATCTTAAATGATTTTGAAGTGAAAACTATGGTCTCAGGTGGGCTCATACAGAAATGTGCAYCCTGATCTACACTGACGCATCAGACTGGTGGAAACAAAATAATAATAATAAAAAAACTCCAGTTAACAGGATTAGCAGCAATTTTTATAATTTTATTAGAGGATTTCTCTGCAGGGCTGGGGATAAAGTTTATTTTTCAGCAAAAAGACAAACCAGGCAATGGTCCTGTCATAACGAAGCTGCTGAGATTAAACCTAAGATCCTTTCTTTGCTTTTTAAATWGCTTGCAGGCAGATATTTATGGCTATAATAATACAGTAATATATTTTTTTAATTTACCAGGTACTAGACAAATGTGAAGTGGTTTTTTTTTTCTTAAAATTTATATAAACAAACCACATACAGGATTTGCTGTAAAAGTACCAATGCTCTTTCTTATGAAGTATTTCCTATGAATCATTCTATCTGCCTTAGTTAATAATAAAGACGAACACACTTATCACAGTTTTTCTAACCTGTAGACTCCAACAGCTTCCCTCCAGGTGGCCTTCAGCTGTTTGAACCTCACAGYGAGCGGCAGCTCCATGGAAGTGCGCCTGCAGTAACAGCATGAGAAAGGAAATTTTAAAGTAGYGATCTCAGCAGTTCTATCTTAATCTCATAAACTGATAAATGCAGTTACTTACCTGGCAGTCCTGAGCTGCCCTTCCTCATCCTCTTCCTCCTGTTGTCTGTACTCGGGTGGTTGGCGGTGTTTCGAGGCCAAGAAGTTGAACATGTCAAATACAGACCTCCTGGTTTGTAGAACAGTGCAGCAGGAGGTCATGAGAGACATAATAAAAACATGAATTTAAGTTCATTATGAAGAACCAGCCATAACCACACAAAACTGTAATAGTCTTGAACCAAAGCAAAAACCACAAGCACTTAAAGGGGACATATGCAAAAWCCACTTTTTTAGCTGTTAAATGCATTTTGTTGTGACTTGGGAGGAATTCAGACCAAAGCATTGCAGTTCCAGTTTATATAGACCCCAACTGAATGATTTAAATGTGAAAGWGAAGGATTTAAAAGCATGTGTCTACTTTAAGACTTAATTGTTGTCAGTCTGAACCTCATTTGTATGTATGTTTTCATACAAAAGCACAACATTATGGAGCTTATTGCCTCTGCAAATAAAAACTATGTTTGAATTTAAAAAAAATCATTCACATGACTAAATCTTGGCTAAAGGAAAACCAAAGATGTGATCATCTTTAGTATTTAGATTTAATGATGAGAAAARTCTGTGTAGGACTGTATGTGTTGGTGAGTTAAGTGTTGTAGTGATAATTTTTAGCGTGTGTTGGCTAATGTGAGAGGATGGAGAGGTACCTGAGGATGTGTATGGTTAATTTTAGAGGTTCTAAGGTTATTCGAACTGTTTGTTTTAGAATTCTAACTTTTATGTATTTTAATGTTTTTATGATTTTTTTGTTAATTTTTATTGCATGAATTCGTAAGTTGTATTGGATGATTTTATGAATTTCTTGGCAGACATGCTTATGTATTTTTAGTGTATATGGATGTATAAACTGTATGTATTTTATTTGTGTAGAAATGCCCAACCAGGGACTGGAGTTGCAAATTAGCTGTAGCTATATACTCTTTGTGCAACACATCAGTTTCAGACTTATCTGTTCTATGTTTTTGTATCATTGTCCCTGTTAAATAAATAAAGATAAAAAAAAAAGATAAAAACCGATGTGTGCATGTGTTTGTGTGTGAGTCGGCTCTTTTCTAACCTGTGGTGGATTTCTGCCCGAGCTGAGCCGTGGGGATTGAGAGGAGGTTCGTCGGTTTCCTCTGGTTTGTGGAAGCGGAAACGGTAGCTGCGGCAGTGCCTGGATCCGTTCAGCTGCTCGAGCAGAAAGACCACAGCTTCATGTACGACTCCCAGCATCCTCAATCCATTCACACCTGAAATGAGCAGAAAATCACMGTATAAATGGAACAACAGCCTTCTACACAAAGCGGGTACAAGTGGTGCTCCAAGAGCAATTCCTGTGTTCTTCACCTTCAAAAGAAAGCTCTTTGAGATGTGCATTGGAACGAGCCTCCTTCACCTTATCAGTCAGGGACTTCCAGGCCTCTGTAAATAATAATGAATGAATAAAACTTATTAGGGAATTCATTGAATAATCTTGTACTCCATTCATATTATTTWAGTTCATTTTAAACATACTCTATGTTAAGTCCATTCAATATGCARCATGTTTTACTGATTTATTAGTTTCCTCTATACTGATTACCATTTATATCGTAAGCTGGGTAGTTACTTAGGCTGTTTTGTTTTACCTTCAATGCTCTCACAGCGAATGTGGAAGCCGTCCTCGCTGCAGATTTCAAAGATGATGCCCTTTTTGGGTTTGCTRTCCAGGCCAGAATCCCTGCTGTTGCCATCCTGGTCAGGTGGTGATGCTGCAGGAACAGAWCCAGCATCTCCAGCTGCAGATGGTTTGTCCTTTCCCACCATTTTCTCTGGTAACGCGTGCCCTTCAGGACTCTTCTTTTTACCGATGGCACTGAAGAATACGCAAATAAAGCTTTAGCTCTATTTTAGGACCGGTTTGAAAACGTCTAACTGTGGCACTGCATACCTCTTGTTGGTCGCCTTATCTGGGGGTTTGCCTGTGTCCATAGGTTCAGGAGAGCTCAGTTCTCTKGAGCTGCACAGAAAGACATTTGAACAGRTACTCATTTKAACATTTCAGAGGAAAGAAAGGCAGTTCAAGTGTATTTGCTTGAAACAGAGTAAGTACTACTTGATATAAAAAAGAAGCGTGTCTCACCTTGGATTTGAAAGTGGGGGGTGTTTTTCAGGGTTGCTCTGATGATCTTCTGYCTGAGAGGCCTTAAGCTTCTTTCCACTGTTAATATCTGGAGTCTGTCGGCTTCTCTTCACTTTCTTTTTGCTTTTTTCCAGACTGGATTGCGCGCTGGACAAAGTTGCAGCGGAGTTAGCTGGTCTCTGCTCTGATGATATGGAAATAGGTGTCGTCCTGCTGCTCTGGGAATGTGCAGAGATCGGTTTTTGAGTGAACACTCCAACAAAACGTCCTTTCGCGCCTCTCGGAGGGGCAGACGGACTGGGAGACAAAGCGATGCTGTTYAGATTCGAGTCCACAGTCTGAGCACTGCTGACAGGCTGCGACTGATGCTGCAAGTGGACGCTCCTGCCCTCGGCCTCSCCGCGCTGGTTGACAGCCATGGTGATCGTCTGCTGGGTGGGCAGGACGCAGATACTGCTGGCTATGGACGTCTGAACAGAGGAGCCGAGATGGGACATCAGAGGAGCTCCCCCTGCTGGCTGAAGGACCACCGACTGATCCGATAGGCTCAAACCGTGTGGGTTGGCTTTAAAAAGGAGGTTGCTAATCGGCCCCGTGATGTCGGCGGAGCTCAGCACGGGGGTGGAGAGTGACACCGAACCTGGAGCGAGGAGGCCGGCGGAGCCGCTGGGGGGAACAGACACAACATTCAACACTGACGAGTTGGGGCTGAGACCAGAGACGGTGCAAGGTAGAAGATGAGCAGAAGAATCGTGACTCAGGATGCCGGGTTGGGCAGGACCGGAGAGTCTTTGCTGCAAGAGCGTAGTGGGATCCAAGTACATAACCCCGCCTGATTTTGGCCTCTTGATAATGTTGGGGACCTTGCGTTGAGAGGCAGAGAGGGTGCCTAACTCCACCAGACCACCTGCTTGGCCAGGAATACTTGCAGCGATCTGTTGGGAAGACAGGTTGATGAGAGTCACGTTGGAGGGTCCTACTTCAGAGGGGGCCAGAGTGGGCTGGCTGCGGGAGCGGGCCACTTTTTTGCTTTTTCTCGGCAGGCGAGAGATGGGCCTCTTCTTGCCGTGGGGGGAAGCGAGAACAGCAGATGAATGAGTGAGAGAGGAGGGACTAGAAACGATGGCCACGCCAGGACCCAGCTCCTGCGGTTTACCAGGCTCTGAGACCAGAATCTGGGACTGGTCGTGTGGCTGTGAGGGCAGACCAATGAGCAGCCCCGAGGTGGTGCTGGGGATTCCTGTTTGGAAGCCTGCCTGCGTGGATCCTGTGAAGGCGTGAATCTGAGATGGGTGAGGTATTGCGCCTAGGACTTTGCCACCAGCAGGAAATATTGGCTGGGCTGAAGTTAAACTRGCGTTTAACCCCGAGGTCAGAGTCATTGAACTCAGCACCGCTGGAGAGGAAGGGTCCATCACTCCTGTTGCACTGATTTTTTGGGTTACACCGTTGGGGACTGTTTGAAGGACGTAGAGAGGTTGGAACTGCTGATTGACCACRATGAGCTTGTCAGGACCTGGTTTGATGACTGTTGGGCTGGAAACCTGAGTCTGGGAAGGTCCTGGGCCAAGCACTGGACTGGGACTGCCTGTAGCTGCTGCTGATGCTGGAAGGTACTTCTGACTCTGTAGAGGCACAGAGGGAGAACTTGGCAAGCCCGAAGTACCAGAACTCCTACTTACATCCTGGCTAACAGGAGTTTCAACTACTTGACCAATAGCAGGGCTGGAAATAAACTGCTCTGGAGTCATGTGACCTTCTGAGACCGGCGTGTCCCTGTTTCCCAAAGCTGTACCATCAAGCTGATTCTCTGACGGTGACACACCAGGCCCGGTTCCTTTCTTGTCTCCACTTTTCTCTCCACTGATGCTCTCTGGGTCAGAGTTCAACCCTAGAATACTGCGATCTGAGGTATTTGAGATGAGACTCCCAGCAGCGTGGTTCTGACTCGTGCTGACAGCTGGGCTGCGTGTTGTCAGGACAGAGAGGTCAGAGGGCAGCTCGAGGGGAAGATACGGTTCTTCTACTGATATGGAGCTACTAACGCTGCTCTCTACAACCCCTCCACTTTCAGCACTGGGCAGCGGCTGCGAAAAGTCTTCGAACAGAATGTCTTTCCGCCTGTTCACATCCACTCCAACGTAGCTCTCGTCCAGCAGCAGCTCTGAGGACGACGGCTCGGACTGCTGACCTAGAGCCGGCAGCGACATGGACGGCGTGTTTAAAACGAACTCCATGATATCCGAGGGCAAGATGTTCCCACAGTCGTCGCTGTTGTTGTTATCAGAATCTGATTTAAGCAGGTCTGTGCTGAGGGACAGCTGGGCCTCCAGAGGATCCTGACCCTGACTCTGTGGCTGGGCTTTGACACCGCCCCCAAGAGGAAGACAATTCTCCTTATGGCTCTTTCTGCTTTCTCGTGTGCTGCCACTTCCTGCCCCGCTGCTGCTGTCAGCCTCTTTGCTCGAGTCACGGGAGTCAGTTTTATCTGTGAGCCTCTCTCTGCCTCTCCTCTTAGGAGCGCTCTTGTGAGGAGTGGAAGATGAAGTGGCCGTGGTGGTTGTGGTGCTGGTGGTGCAGATGCTGGTATCGCTCTCTGAGCCATCGTCAACGCCGTCCAGCTGGCTGATGCGCTGCTTGCCTAAAGTCCTGTTAAAAACAGCAAATATAACACAATTATTAGACAACTGAAGACAAAAACTAACACTTTTAGATTAATTTGAAAAAAGTGTACTAACAAAGTACTCAGCATGTCGTCTTCTGTTTTTTCTTGGGTTCGTTGCTGCTGCTGCTCTTCGTCTTTTAGAAAGCGCTGAAGCTGGGACCCCCTTCCTAGGCAGTGATCTAACCCTTCTATAGATGGAAGACCCTCACCGGGGTTAATTATTGTCCGAGTGAAGTTGTAATAATAAGAGTCTTTACTCCTGTTTTTAACGGCACTATCTTCATCCTCTCCGCTGTCCCCTGACGAAGACGAGGTACTGATGTCGTCGGCTCCATCCACCTGCCCCTCAGCTGATTTCTTACGGCTGCYGGTCCTCTTCCTGACCACGGCTCCTGCTCCGTCGCCGCCACCATAAAACGGAAGATCTTCCTCTCCGTACGAACGAACACCGTAGAAAGGCGTGAGACCAAAGAACATGTTGGAGCGCGCGCGAGCGCTGCGTCGAGGGTAACGCCGCTTGGCTGACCCGGATCCATCACTGTCGTCCTCATGGTGCTTGTCCTCCATACTTCTGTCGTGGTCGTCCTCGGGGCCGTCGCCGTCGTCCTCTGTGCTCTGAGCGAGGAGGCCGTGGTGGTCTCTGAGCTTGCCGCTAGGGTGGTCTTTGAGCAGGTCGTCCTCCTCGGTTTGAGTCTGCGTGTCGGACTCRGAGCTGTCGCTGCTGCTGGCAGAGGGTGAAGAGAAGAGAGCGGTGTGGGCGGAGCGATGAGCCCCCTGTCCGGCAGGAGGGACAGTGGAGACCACGCTTGTGTGACAGGAGGATGAAGAAATCGCACCAGCAGTGTTGGTCCCGTTAGGGTCCATCTTGGTATCAGACTTGAGTGGAACTGGAGGAGAGGGTTTAACTGATCGCTTCTTCTCTCTGGTCGACAGAGAAAGCTGATTGGCTGTCTGTTTCATGTGAGACTGGTTGGAGGCGGTCACACCTTTCTCTGGAGCTAAACTAGCCTGTTGTAGTTGCTGTAAGCTGTCCAGACTGGAACTGTTCTTCCGTTCTGGGCAGGAGTAATTATCCCTGCTCTTTTTGGACGATCTTTCGCTTCCCTGGTTCTCGTGCCTCTCTCCCTGAGGCTTTCCGTGGGCTTTGGTGCTGTTTCCGAGCACTGGAGCTTTGCTGCTGCTGTTGTTGTAAGGGCTGGGGTGCGTGTTTGAGCTGCCAGTAGCTTTTGTGTTATTGTTGAGAAGTGGAATTCTGTTGCTGCTGTTGCTGTTTTGAAGGCTCTTCTCCCTATCTCGGTCTTTGGATGCATCTCTGCTGCCTGCTGTTTTAACTTTGGGATGTTTGTCTTTGGCAGCTGAGCCTGCAGCTGGGGAGGCCAGGTGCAGGGAGCCCTGTTTAACAACATCATCTTCTGTCGATGTCCTTGATGACCACATTGGAGTCCCGGCTGCTGTTACAGCTAAACCCGATGAGAGATTGTTTGCTTTCCGTGTACTGGACTTCTGCGGGGAGCCAGAGTTCCCAACAGCAGAATCCTTATGGAGTGGAGATGGTGGTATATTTCCAGTGGCACAGCTACTCTCCTTCCCTGAGCTGGGCTTATCCTTGAACGGGAGGACGTTAGAGGAATGGGTGGGCCGGTGACAAGGCATCAAACTGAGCCCTGGAGAAAGATCCCGGTCTTTGCCTTCATGTTTACCTTGCTTTTCAACTTGTTTGGTGCTGCTACTTCTCTGCTGACCTGAATGAACAGTGGTGCCCACCGGAGGGGAAGACTGCCCTGAGCCTGCAGGTACAAGTCTTGGACTCCTACTGTCAATTCCAGTCCGTTTGGACTGACCATCTCTCCCTGAGCCAGACTCTTTGTTCCTCTCCATGCTTCTATAACTTGAATCCCTAGAAGAAGGTCTACCCTTGTCAGAGTCTCTACTTGATGGTCTTTCTTTACCTTGGCCCGAGTCTTTCCCTGTTTCCTTGCTATATTGTTTATGTTTCTCTGATTCCTTCACTCCTGTATCCCTACTGAGGGACCCAGACTTGTTCATGTCCTTATAGCTAGGGTTTCTGGATGATGATTTACTTTTATCTGTGTCTCTAGTGCTCAGTTCTCTGCTCGTCTGTCTCCCCTTTTCAGAATCTCTTGAGTGATCTCTRTTAAGAGGTCTTCCACTTTCAGATTCTTTCAGACCTGAGTCAGGATTTAAAAGTCTTCTCTTTTCTGGCTCTTTGGCTGATACTTGACTCTTGTCAGAGTCTTTCTGCCCATGTTCTCTGGGTGGTCTGCTCTTGTCAGAGTCCTTGGAAGCATGATCTCGACTTGACGTTCTCCCCTTATCTGTGTCTCGTAACRCTTGCTCTTTAGCTGGCTGCGGTCTGTGTCTGTCTGTTGAAAACAGTTTGACCTTCTCGTCGTCTCTCTGGACTGCGTTCTTTGTTGACTCTCTGCTGATGTGTTTGGACTTTTCGGGGTCTCTGGCAGGGGAAGGAATGAGGGGAGGGGGTGAGGTGAGGGGTCGTGTCGAGGCCTGAGGCGAGGCGGTCACTCCCCTCAGTCTGTTCAGCTGGTGGGGAGGAGAGGAAAGAGAAGGAGAGCTGTGACGTCGAGAGTCTATGTTCCTGGAGTTTACCAAGGAGTCTCTCACAGTGACCACTGCATGGCTTTGAAGCTGTGAAGTAACCCCTACAAAGCAAATCAACAATGTAAGTTAAGAAAAGACTGATTGCATTTCTTTAAATAGTTGAATAAAGAATAAATATTTGAACCTGGAGGTGGCGTAGGCTTGGAGTCGATTGAGCGCTGACAAGGGGGATAGCTGGGGTGTCTGTTTCTGGTGTAAACCCTGAGTTTGGGAGTATTAGCGGGGGACAAATTTTCAGAGCGTCTTGGCGACTTAAAYGGATCAGGAACATCTATATATAAAAAAACAAAAAACAAAAAGAGAATCATCATGAAACAAGCTTAGGTTAAACAGATGATTGTCACGAACCAAAAAAACTGAAAATCTGCAGAGATCAATACTCAAGACTTAAATGGCTTTATAATAAAAACACACAATGTAAAATAAAGCATTGCACAAACTGCAGCTCTAATGAAGCTTAATTAATTCATATTTAGAAATAAAAATAATTAAAGCCATAATAGCTACCATCCACACTAAATTTAAATGAAAACATGTTGACACTGGCAGGTTACCTGTTGTGGGAGATGGGCTGTGTGCGATTGTGCGATTCTCCTCAGGAGGCATCATGCTCTTTAGGTCAGACTCTGTCACTGGAGGGTGACAAACTAATATCCTACAGGTATACACACAACGCTTTCGAGCATCTAATGTGCTCCAGTACACTCTCGAACACCTAGAGAGTGAAAAAAAATAAATGTATTCACTTTGAAAAGCTATTTGTAGGAAAATAAAACAGAAATGCTGTCAGAAAATGACAAGAGAAGATTCTTAATTAAAACTTACTGGTATCCTACAGGGAAGAGCTTTCTTTTGCAGTCAGAGAGTTCAGTCAGTATTCCCAAACAATCAATTGTCATTGAGCCTGCAATGATGGAGTTTAAATTAAGAGTTTGATAGGAAGCTGGCAGTTTCTTTTTCCCCAGCCCACATTTAGCAGTAATTAACTTACCAATCATCATGTGAACGTTTTCTGGCTCCAATCCTGCCAGCCACTTYCTCCTGAGACTGATGCCTTCCAGGTCCACCAGGATCCTACGGGTTACCTCAAACCCAGAAACCACCTCAGGAACAAGCAAACAAAGAAACGTTAAAGGAAGCTTATAAAAAAATATCAATTGTCAGATTCTATCATCAACAAAAAATATATATTCTTTTAATAGTAAAGTCCTTACATCTCCCTTGATGAGGTCCCGGTGCTTTGAACAGTAGACTTTCTTGTCTTCCAAGAACACACAGTGGCTCTGGCGGGCGCACATGAAGTGGTAGTTACCGTTGCAAGAGGTGAGGCAGCAGCTAACCGTGGCCCCTGACTTCTCACACTTCTCACAGCGCTGAATGCAAAAACAGATTGATGGTGTCAGTTCAGTGAGTACATTTAAAAAAAAGTGTCAGCTTAATCTCTGTCTTACCATTTGTCTTCCTCTGTGAACAGCCGTGTGAACATTTTTCAAAGAGCCATCGTCGTCTTCAAACACGTCAGCAGACCAGAGAGCACAGTTCACATGAACCCACTCATTCTGACCGATGTACAACAGCCTGCCACACTCCTGAAACACRCAGAGATGGTGTAAGAGACACAGACTCAGTCTTTTCTTTGTTTAAAGTAAGCTGAAATCCATTAGTGACTCACATTTGTGTTCTCGTCTCCGTATTTGAGACACAAAACACACTGCCTGTTATCAGTGACGTCTGGTGGAGGAGGAAGCTCTGGGCTGTCTTCAMAATCTGAGGAGAAAACAACAAAAACGTGATTAAAACAAAACAAAACGTAATAGAGACGTGGGGGAAAAAAAGCACAAAGACAWAGCCCAAATGTAATAACAAGCGGTGCATTATTCAGTAACTGCCTCACCTGGTAGGAGTGCAGGTGGTGGAGGCAGGGAGGGAGGGAGCGGCGGAGAGGGGGCGGGTGAATCGGGTTCACCAGGTGCCTTTGGCTGTGGAGCCGGGATGATCTTTTTCAGAAAATGAGGTTGTTCGGCACGGCAAAGCTCCTGCCTCTCCTGCCACTGGGCATAGTTGTGGTCCAGGGACGGGGGCAGCACGGCGTTGGGRAGGAGCCCACTGCTGGAACAACAACAGATCGAGACACTTTTATATGATGGGCTACTACGAGTAATATGAGGTGCATGAGCTGTGATTCTGGTAACGTAAAGTGGTGCGAGCAGAAATAAGATGCCAAAAATAAAATGTTAGACAGTGATTGGGAGGGTGCAGAACTTAGGTAAAGCCTCAGCCGATGGGAGATTAAGGCTGATGTTGCTCAGTAGCTAGGGATGAATGCTTTTCAGCTTAAAGACACTTTAGAACGTAGGTAATGGCAGAATTTTGGCATAAATAAATGAAAAAATTTAAAGCTACATTTTTCATAGAAAGCTGTAAAACTGTGATGTGTAAAATCTTCCTCAAGTAGATTAATTTATTTWAAGCAAGTTAATTTATTCTCCTAAATGTGCACCCCATAAATGACCACACATACACCTATCAGCTGAAACATCAAAACCAGTTRTCTTTTATTGGTCCAGTGAAACTGCTTTGACCAGTTGGGCAATAACAAAATGGAGGTGTCTAAGGGTGTCTGGCACGAGGATTTAATCAACAGATTAATTTGATTTGYAGATTTTAGAGTGGCATTTGTCTTGTTTCACACAGAAGCTATGAAATCACATACAGTATGTATCTGTTGTGTTTGGAAACAAGGCACACCTCCRACTCTTTGTCATTTCCTTCAGATAYTACACAGCAGGGATGAACAATGATTTTTAAATATTTGAGCAGTCAGGGACTATGGTCTTGCTAAGCATTTTTTTTTTTTTTTGCTGACACTTTGGAGTAAAATTATGCCAAAATTACCACAAGGTGGCAGTGATGCGAAATGTCAGGGACAATTTTTGCAATAAAACACCTAAAAAACCTGAACCTGAAGTCATTCTGATTTGTTTCTGCCATCATAGTTTTACTTAAACAGTAGAACAGTAGAAAGAGCTACATCTTCACTGCCGAGGAATGTGCACACCTCTCCACAAGGAACTAATGGAAACATAAAATGAAGGAATACATGTCACATTGAACCGAGAATTAGGTTTGTGAGGTAAGAAGCTATAGTGCATTGGTTGAAAACCTAGCAAAAAGTGGTTTGTCATAATGTGATTAATAAATAACTTCTCTATGGCTCCCTTGAAGGAAACGGTCAAAATATAATCCTAGAGAATGTCAGAATATGATTTGAAAAGCCAAAAAAAATAAATAAAAATAAAAATCCAAATCTGACATAATTCCTGAACTGATGTGATGGTTCATAAATATGCAAATATATATATACAAAGGTATACATGTCTTGTTGCCATATATCAAATGTAACTGGTTTGCAGAAAAGTGATGTCCAAAATGAAGGGTTTTCCAGCTAAACACTGTTTTATGACCAGCCTGACAGSGGTCATAATGTTCTGGCTTGTGTTGTAAATGTATAAGAATGTGATAACATGCAACTTTTGAAAAAAAAAAAAATAGAGCAAGAGACACCAGTACAAACTATCCCCATCAAAGAAAATGTGCCAAGTCATGTTCCTGCCAAGTCAAGCAAAGCTGAATAATAGATACAATGTGAAGTTTTAAGCTTAATCATCCAGCAGAGGAACCTTAAAAAACACAAATCTTTCCAGTGGCAGGCTCAAAATCCACYGGATGAAATCACTGGTTTACTAGACTGCTGAACAGATACAAAGAGCAACAGACCAAGCTGACAAGTAAACCACAAATAGACCACAGATCCAGATATGTATCAAAGAGCCTCCCAGTGAAATCTGACACTGTTACAGTTTGCCTTCCACAATGCCAGGAGGCAAGGCAGAATTAATGGTCTGAGAGACCAGACAGCTAAATCTAACCGAGATAGTGAATGAGTGCAGGGGGACTGAATGAATGTAACTGTCAGGAAAAAAATTCCAACATTCAGACCAAAAACACTTTCAGACAAATTCAAGGAAAAAGCTTCTTTGAATTTGTCCAAATAAGGTTTCTCTAATGATGAGCCAGTCATATTTTTCAAGTGTTAGTAATTCAATACTAGTCATACTTGATGCGTACTAATTCATATTTGTGGACCTCTAAAGGAGAAAACATAAAAATTGTTCTGAGCTTACAAAGTAAAGTGACTGTAACGGGAGCTGGCTTCACTGATCCTGATCAGCATCAGACGCTTTAAAGAATCTGTTATTCACCACAGCGCGGCCTTGGTGGGCTTGTTCAATAAGAAAATGTGCAACCAATTATTTTGATGGCGTTAGTCACTGTCACTTTGATGTGAGAAGGTATGCGCAAAGAAAAAACGAATTACTGACCTTCTTCACTCACACATATTTTATGAGTTGTTCAAAAAGCTTCTCGGGAGTTTGAGAGGTGATGTCATTAACCGCTAAAACATAAAATAACTACACAAGACATCAAGATTTCACCCCCTTCTGTGTTTGCAACACTAAACTTGAACATTTTATAAATGGTCATGCTTCATGGTGTCCTCCTATACACAGATAATGATACAGCTTCTTCTAGTGAAACCACGTTTTACTCCTCAATAATTACAGAGCAGCACTTCTTGAAAACTTCTCAAAGGTTTTTGGATGGGCTCACATTACCGGAGTAATGCAGGTCCAATGTTCTTCTCTGTAATTACTAACACAACTTGGACTTGCGAGTTCAGGAAATGATGGCACGTTTGTCAATACCAGTGAAGCTAAGAAGCACAGAGCTCTGCTTACATCTGGACTTCCATACTTTATTTGTATTAGTTAGAGATGTCTTTTAGCTCAATTTAAAGTGCTTTTGTCAGAATTTATGTTTGTGCTTTCAACACAAAACAGTTGCTGAACATTACAAATTCATGGCAGGGATAGGAACTCACTTGGCAGAGACTTTTTGTCTTTCCCAGAATCTGGATTCCTTCACTTTGAACCACGGGAAGATTCGGTCCATTTGCTGAAAGGGAAAACATTGTGAAGTTGACTCATCAGCCTAATGACCTGCAGTTTGCAGCAAGAAGGCTGATGATGATGATGCTCACTACAAGACCAAGATAACTAAAGTAACTACTGAACCCAAGTCAGAGCACAAAATAAATACTTTTAAACTGTCTGAACTGTTCAAACTCTCATTATGGAATTAGACTGTTTGCAAAATGAACTAAAATTCAGCCGTTACAGTAAGATTCTTACCTGTATGAAGAAAGACTTCACCATACTGTTGGCTTTCCTACTCTCAGGTTGGCCTCCGTCATTGCTGATGGCTGTCTGAATGATTCGTACAATGTCATCACTAAACTCCAGCTGCGAGAGAAACGATGAAAATGAGTGATGTGCAAGAGCAGAACATGCTTTTTAAAGAATAATTAACAGGAACAGACCACTGACAGGGACAAAAATGTAGCTATATTTATCAGCTTACATCATAAGCATAATATTGACCCACATTGTGCATATGATGACAATATGAATCAATGTTTTTGTTTTGCCTTGAAGTAATTGAATAATTAATCAGTAATTGATATATCGATATGGATTGATGTATTGTTACACCCTTAAAGCATAACCAACGATACAAGTCATTTGCCAATGAAATGATGCCAAAACATGTTTTAAAGTTATATTTTTCAAATATAAACTGCTTGAAATGCCACGCTACTCCCACCCTGCATTTATTTATAAGGACAGACTTTAAGACACCAGTACAAATATTCGTAAGGTGAATGTAAAGACACATGAACTACCTCTGAATAAAATGCAACCAAGCGGGTGCTGCAGTATTTGTTGCGGGAGCAGCAGTAAAACACTTACCAATGAATAGTAACGACCCTGATCCATCTTCTTCTCAATGGATTCAAAGTCAGGAGGGGAATCGCTTGGAGGTGTGGGAGTGACCTCAGTAAGAACTGGAGGATCTGGGCCCTCTGGGGAACGACGGGATGGAAGACTCTCTTCTGTCTCTGGATTCAGCTCCGGAGGTTTCACCGCCTGCCACAGAACCAACCAGAGAGATAGGCAAAGTTAGCCTTTGATTACAAGTAAACCCCTACTGCTATTGCTAAATCTAATATCTCTAGTTTGGCATTTCAGTCAAATGATCACAGCAGTTTGTTTTTTTATCTAACCTGTCTGTAGCGTAGCAGGTGCATGGATGTGCGTGAATTAAGCAGTGCGTTGAGGACATTGCGAATGCAGCACTGAAACTCCCTCTCCAGTATCGTCCTCCACTTGGCCGGATACCGTTCAGTACATTTGGTACATGTGAAGGCAACGCTTTCTGGCAGCGCTGACAGAAGTCCATACATTTCATCTGAGGGACAGCAAAAATGACAGGTCATTAAAGCGGCCATCATTAGATGTGTTGTGTTTCAGCAGCTCATCAGCATGACAGCTCTTCACGATCACCTGTCAGCGCTCAGACACTAGAAACTGACAAAAGCTGAAATACTGTCTTCTTTATTATTATGTCTACACGGCCTCTTCCTAACCTGTAAGCTTCTCACACTTGGCATGAACCCATCTGTTGCAGCGACAACACTTCATCATCTTGCTGTCATAGTCGTCATCGTCATAGTGCTTATCACACAGTGGGCAGAAGTTCCCTGTAAGAGAAGATTTCACAACTAAAACTAGCTTTGACAACATCGTTGGGACCGTCACTTGGACTGAGTCTTCACCTGTAATCTAAAAGAGAATCACCGACGTACAGCTGCTCACTCACCTTTAGCGAAAAGTTTGGCACAGTCATGACACATGGAGAAGTCATGTGACCACTGGGCATCCCAGGATTTCCCAGGTTTGGTGGCTCCGCAGCTCTTACAATGCACGCACTTGATGCAAATCTACAAATAAGGAAAAACCATATTGAACCAGACGTGGCAGAAACATTAAAGCACTTCTTTGAAGAAGTGTAAACGGTGTGAAAGTGGAGTTCGTTTATAGACACAGCCTGTGAGAGGTCCAATGATTGCAAGCAGCACAAACTTGAGAAGATGGAAAATGTGCGAACAAGTGGAGGAGGGAAAGGGGGGACAAAAATATGTTTGAACATGACACTTAGGTTTGGTCAGGCAGTGGTTAGAGGGCAGAGACGATGTGTGATGACAGAGTGGTGCTGATCCGTACCCAAACTCTATTCTTCTTGGTGGGTCTGGTGGGGTAGTTGGGACCCAGGCACTCCGGGTGATAGCTATTACGGCACTTATCACATTCTAGCAGCTGCTGCTACAGTGTGAGAGGCCAAAAGGAAGATGGAAAAAAAAGTTAAGCAACAAATGAGTCCACTTACTTTAATGCCCAATAAAACAAAGATCACTTGTTGTTGCTGCTAACACTCAGTCTCAGCAGTTCCTATTATTTAAATGATAATGAATAAAAAATTTAAGTATATATTAAGTGTTTTAAAATCGTGGCCAGTATAAATATTTTTCCTCTTGTTTGGAACTACTTTTAAAAGAGAAATATCATACTTTTAAAACCCTTTTCACATTTAAATCATTCAGTTGGGGTCTATATAAAGTGTAACCATCATGCCTTGGTTTGAATTCCTCCTTATTGTAACTATATAGCGCTATATTATATATAAGTCCAGACGTTATTTGACAGTTCTGTCACAAATAATTTGACGTAACAGTTAAGAAAAAGGTCATATAAAATACAGAAAGCTAAACGAGTTGAAAAAGAAAGAAAGACCCAAACAGAATATAAAGATATCTATGCAACATCTAGCACCTGCAATAAATATGTAATGCTTGGTCCAATAAGGTTTTACGCTCCACAACAAGCTGAGATATTAGGCATTTAAAAATCTTTTTTAGCGTTGACCAGACACTTGATGATGTTTAAACTTCTCCTTGGTTACAGTTAATGTTGGTTCATGTTCTTTGTGGATATTTTTCTTTAAAATTACTTTACTTGCTACATTAAATTCTCTACTTTCACTCCGTCTTTAGAATTTTCCTTACAAATTACCAATAAAAAACTAATTAATTGATGAATATTAATATGTAGCATGGTTATAATGTGTTGTTTAAACCCCAAAATGTTAATATATAATTCTTAAATGACAGCCACTAAGGACTCACATTATGCACATTTTGGACGCGGGTGTGAGATAACCATACAAACTCCGGCAGGAAGCCAAGAAAGCGATTAAGTGATGTGTGCTGGCAAGTCCTGCCGGCTTCTTTCTTTTTAAAAGATTCTCCGCTCTGTCAGTCTAAACTGAGCTTCTTTTGTTAGCAGCTTTAAACTGGCTTACTTTAGCTTTCTGGTGCTGGCGCCCACAGGCCTGGCAGAATCGGCATCTTCGGCAACACCAGTTCTCAAACTGCTCCTGGAGGGGGCGCTCTGACTCCCCGAGGCAAAAGAGGTGGAACGGTTCACAGCAGACCTGGCAAAAGACAAACTGGGGCGAGAAAGGGCAAACGTAAAGTGAGCACATCGCGTGGATTTTAAATGACTAAAGCAACTATTTTTGTTACTTTTTACCTCAACGTCTCCACTGCTTGCACATAAGAAGCAGAGTACCCTGGGTGTGATGGGCACTGAGGTGAGCAGGCTGAGGCCACCAGCCTCCCACACTTTCTCCACGTCCTGATCCCTCTTAAAATCCACTCTGATACGATGCACTCCGTCGCAGGGCGCTCTGGACTTCACCAGCTCCCTAGTCGAGGGAGTGCTCAGCGAGTTTAAAGTACTGCTGCTGGGAGGTTTAGTGCTCAGCAGCTTTTGTTGTTTGCATTAAATAACAAAGAAAGAAAAGAAAATACATATTTAAAATAATGTGTGACATCTGCATAAAGCAAAAATAAATAAATAAATAAAACGTGGCGAGAAGATTTTCGATACAAAACCATTTCATCCAATCTCTGATTCAGCAAATTCCTACCTTGTCTTTTGGTTTCTGCTTAGGAAATAGAGGAATAGTGCGAGAAGSTTGCTTCTTCAACTGTTTTGAGTCAGCTGGGAAAAAGAGAAGAACATGACATTCAAATATGTGTGAGATTATTGATGAAATATGCATCATTCTCCCAGCGAGGCGAGAGCTGAGGTCTGTGAAACGGTGTGGTGAAGAATACGTGGATCCTGCTCTGAGTACACTTGAATAAACATTAATACTAAACAAAAAAAAGTGACCAGTTTCTCACCTGTAGCAGTTGGACTCTGCTGTTGCGTTGGGGGCTGCTGCGGTTTCTTCTTGGGTTCAGTCACAAGCGTTTTGGGTGAGGCCTCCTTTTTTAAAAGCGTCTGACAAGCAGGCGGCTGCTGCTGTGGTAGTTGGTAACACTGTGTCGACTGCGAGAGAGAATTCTGAGCCGGTGAGGATGAGGAGGAAGATGACGAGGATGACGAAGACGATGAAGATGAAGGGGAAGAGGAGGACGTGGAGGCAGGTGCTGGAACAGTTTGTTGTGGTTTGTGTCCCTTTTTACTGGCGACGCCGCTGGAGACCGGGAGCTGTTTGGGGTCCGGTGGCGAAGCTGGAGAAGAGGCCTGGGGTGTGGCTGTGCTCGGGGTCTGAGCGGGCTCTGCGGGGGCCGGGGACGAGGCCAGCGCTGGAGATGGTTGCTTTGACTGTGGCTGTTGTCTTGATTTCTCCTCTCCCAGCTTTAATGGAGGAGTTTCTGGGGTTTTATGCGGAGGATCCTCCTTTGGCGAAGCAGGAGTAGGTTTGGTGCCCGACTCTGAACCGGGCCCTTTCACAGGATTGAGACCTTCTTTTTTCTCAGAAAACCGCTTTTTCTTGTCTTTCTTGCCTTTACCTTGCTTTGGAAGAATCATCTTTGAAGGCATCCACTGCAAGTTCTGACACTTTCTCATCCTGTGAAACATTAAAAGTTCAAACTTTACTTCTTCACACACAAAAAAAAAAAAAAAAAAAAAAACCTGAAAACTTCCTAACAGTTAAAGTATTCATGATCTACTCACTTGCAGCACTGCTTTTTAATGTTTCGACCTCCAAACTTAGGCTTGTCCAGGCAGTTTGTGCACACGCCACAGTCCTCTGGAACCTGGCAGCCCGAGCACTGGCCGCAACGGCGAGATCGACGCCCCTTTTTGGGAGGAGCTTCTTGAACAACCTTTTGTCGCATCTCTCGCGGCTTTATGGGAGGAGACTGGGGCTCCGCCTCCTCTGAGCCTGCTACTGATGACTTATCTGCAAAAGAGAGCCGTCATAAACAGCTGATGATTACTGACACTCAGTTACTCCTAGGTCTGATCAGAAGAAACTAAGAACAATAACACATCTAGACTAATGTTTATCAATATTAATAAGGTTTGTTTTAAAAATAATAAAAAGCTCTAAATGAGACTTTAGTTGTTTTTTTTTAGAATCGTATTTGAGCTAAAATTTATTRCTAAGATTGAGGGACATGATCATACTCCCAACGCTTGACATCTTCAGGGCCCGTGAAGCGCACATAAATTCACATGTCACAACATGACATAAAACCAGTCAGAAGTAACAGGAACAGAGCAGCCAAACTCTTCTCACTACTCCCTCACCACTTCACTCTGTACTTGTGCCCTGATTGATGACTGGATTTGTCTACTCCTGTAATAAGTATGCCATGATCACATCCTGCACATGCTTTTGTCAGAATGTGTACAGATAATGTCATAAACACCAAACATTCTGATTGGTGATGTATAATTGTTACAAGCGAACATGAAAATATTAGAAATACATATTTCAGGTTTTTGGAAAGTTCTCATTTGTCGTTTGTGTTTATTTACAGTAAAAAATCTGTTATACATTTTCTTCTAAAACATGCCTGAGTTAATGTACACTTTCATTGTAAGTGGAAATCTACAACGAACATATTCCAGTTGACCTAGTATCTGCACAAATAAAACCCTCCATCACACTTGATTCAAATGATTGAATTTCCTCCTCAGCATGTCATCAAGCTCTGCAGAAGACTTGTAATGATTCATTTACTTAMGTCAGGGTTGTTGAAACAGAGAAATGACTAAAACATGCAGTATAATGAGCCCTGAGGATCAGTGTGTTAGGTTGTTCATTCTTTTATTTTATCGCAACTACACTCATGGCAACTGTAGGTGTCATAAACTGAGCTGGATGTCACTAGTTCAAGTGGTAGCTGGTACTTTATTGAAAACCTTTGATCTTTATTGTTACTAAAGCGGATATATCTCATTATAACATTAGTACATCCTTTTAACACCCTTTTACACCTATTGTGCTCTGAAGTCATTTGTAAAWTAGATAACCTGTTTTTTGCTAAAGAAAAAGCAATATGCCTCTGACTAGCACGCATTAAGCCACTTCGCTCTGGTGAGATTACAGAACGAATAAAGATCGGCTAGTCGCATCCTAAAACGGATCGATTCAAGTCAGAGGTTGATACATTTTTGCATCTCTAATCACAGTCAGCAATGCCAAACATCTGTATCAAAGTCCTTCTCAGACTATGCATCTCATGCACAATATATAGGATACAGTACTCCTACAGCTAATAATGTAAACAAAAGTTTTCCCCTTGTATTTCCATTGTTGAAACTCTGACATTTAAAAAGATGCAACAGTGTTGATTTTACTTGTCTGAGCCAGTAAGCTAGGGTTGGGCGATWTTGGCAAGAAAGCATGATCATGATTAATTGTGGCATTTAGCAGATACCAATTAATATGACAATTAATAGATGACAAATGCTCCCTGAAGATGGCTGCATGTAGACGACATTGTGGCCWTGGTCCGCCTTTTCTGGCTTTCCTCTTATTCCAGTTTATGTCTGTGTTTAAACAAGTCCTTAGGGTTAGGGTTAGCATTAGTTGATCTGAGCTGCCTTCCAACATTGGGATAACATGCATGCATGGAAGTGATAGTGTGTTGCACACAAAAATATGTCATTACATGACACTACATGCAGTGTAAACATTAGGGCTGCAGCTAACGATTATTTTAATAATCAATTAATTTATTGATTATTTTGATGATTAATCGAGTAATTAAATATTAAAAATTTGTCATGTTCTGCGGTAATTATGACTCCCGCATGCGAAGCGTAAGCGGGAGTCATTGTTTTCGTATTGTTTTTTCTTTTCCTCCAGAGATTTTTGGTCAACCGTAGCACAAAAACGGCTGCACCGGTCAACATGAAATTTGGCAGGGCTGTAGATGAGTCCGATCTACACTACGCCAGCCAACGGTTTTATGATAGACCCCATATTTGAGGAGGGGGCTCCTTTCAAAGTGGGAGTGTCAGAACATGCAAAATCGCTTTTAACTCAGAAAGTGTTCAACATAGGAGCTTCAGATGTTTTTTGTTGTTTAGCTCTGATGAAGCTCTATCCATCAGGCCCACCAATCAGTACCCCCCCAACCCAACTCATCTGAAAAAGGGGTGTATGGACATACAAAAAAGGTTATTGCTCAAAAACTATTAAACATAGGAGCTTCAGATTTCTTTTGTTGTTTAGATCTGATGAGGGGCTATCCATCAGGTCAACCAATGCTACCCCCCCACCACCATACTGTACTCTTGACTGCTTAGCTATAAACAAATATGACAGTAGTAATGAAGGCTAAAGTCATCAAAAGCAGCAGCAAATAATAAAAAAAATCCAACTATCTTCTATAAATACTTTTAAACTTGAAATATTTACTCCAAGTATCATTTAAACTAAGATWAAAGCATATCAACAAATAAACGTGTTTCAGCTCAAGCTGTCGATCTGATGCTGTGCCTTTATTTTTATCTGACAAACTTACAGTAAGTCTTGTTTTTAATCACACAACTTACACACTGTTTAATAAAACACTGCCAGGTCACAATGATTATTCAGCASAAATAACGTTAGCCAAAATATACTCCCTCCTTGCACATCTGTAAYATGACAGATTATCACAGATTTAGGTAAGCAAAGGGAAAGTGAACGATACCTGTTGTTAAMCCCGGACGTGTTTGGTACATGCAGCAGCTGTTTGTTCCGGTGCAGAAACATCGAGGATGTACAGAGCATTGTGCGTTGTTGTCTTTTCTGTTTAGTTTTAAATGTTCCCATGCTTTTTATAATTTTTCGTTTACTGAGCGCTTCGTTTCGGCACTCTTCGTCTTCTTCTAAAGCTAAATATAGTGCTCAGCAAGCATACACGCGTGACGCGTCGACAGTGTAACTGTTAGCGGAAGCGCTAACATTGTAGCATTGTGTGTAACACAAATAACATTCCGGGCGGACGAAAGTGCGCTGATTATAACAGTATGTATTTTTTACGAAGCTTCGAGGCAGATAAATTTGCCTCGAGGATTTTTTGTAATGTAATTACTCAAATTATTCGAGGAATCGTTTCAGCCCTAGTAAACATTAATAATTGATAGCTTTTCTGATGATTAATTGCAYATGATACAATTTTGCCCAACCCTACTGTAAACTAGGTAAAATCTATACTCTTGATTATAAAYTATTATAATTTTATTCCCAAAGTCTGTTTTATTAGTCAAGTCTAAAGATAGTAACCAATAATTCAGGTCAACTGAGAGGTAGATTAGGATTTACCCTTACCATCATTCCCCATGGAAGATAGGATCTTTTCTCTCTCCTCCCATGGCAAGGCACTGAGTGTGGGCATGTCGTCAGGGAATACTGCCCTATTACGGCCAAGAGCCACAGCTGCACGACGGCATACATGCTTAATACGTGGACCACGGACTGATGCCTCTGACGAGTCGCTCTCCTGACCCTGCACATAGGTACACCAAATCAAATAACTGTGATGATTTAAAAGATAGTAACAAATACAGAAACAGAAACACCCTAATAGCTCAGGATTTTGATTTGCTTATGTTTATATGTGTGTGATATTTTTCAACCAATGTTTATGATGAAGAGAACACTGATAATGATGATAAAACTTATATATTTACAGTGTGAATAAGAGGGAACTGTTCTGTTAAAGAAACATTCATTTGAGAAGCACAGCTTGGTCTGCTTTCTTCACAATGTGTGAAGCAAAGAAAATTTCCCCTGAACCAAAGTAATACTCTGTGGGACTTTCCTTTGATCAAATTTCAGTCTGAGTACAAACACAGGTTTCTATTTATAGAAAATATTTAAAGCATCATGTATTGCACATTTAGACACTTACTTGTGCCTATATAATGAAAAAGAGAAAACCAGCCAATCTTYTTGTAGAAACTCTATGTCTATGAAGATAAAAAAACGAAAACTGACCTGGACCTTAGTCTGATCTGCAGGCTTTAGCTTATTCTTCTTTATTGCAATCAGCTGGTCTTTGGCCTTCTTCAACAGTCCAACCAGCTGTCTGTCAGTCAGTGAATGCTGTTCTGCTTGTGTTACCATCAAAGAGACAGGAATGTTTTGTCTGCCTTGCTGCCCTGGAAGGTTAGCAGTCTGCTGGTTAGATGTACTTCGTTTCTCTTTCTCCTTTTCCACCTCTTCTGCCTCGGCCCCTTTCTCTGAGGCTCGTCCTTTCTTTGCCTGACGTCCTTTGGTGATGGACATGGAATGGAGTCCTCTCACTTCTAGGGAAGAAGTGTCAGAAACCGTGTCAACGGATGTTGATTTTTTCCTCCCTGGAGCCTTTTTTGGTGCAAGGGCGCCCTCTGAGTCCCTCCCGTCCACAGCAAACAAGCTGGAAGGTGCATTCGGGGAGCCATCGGGTGTGGACACCTTACTTCTTTTTTCAAACTCTTTCCTCCCTTCCCTCTTGTTTTCCTTCTCTTTCTCACGACTTCTCTCAGACTCCCTTTCTTTTTCCTTTGGAGTAGGTTCTTGGGGAGTGGGCAAGCTCTTTTCTTTAGCTCCTTTCCCTCCTCCTCGTCCTGTATCCTGAGCACTGGAAGGAAAGAGAGGGAAAAGTGGGGAAGAAGCGGACGATGTGTTTGACATGGGCGATGGAGTTCCAGCTGCCCCTCTTCTGCTATCTGGTGTTCCTTGTGAGGCCAGACCCCGAGAGACAGTGGAGAAGGGGCTGAAAGTAGCAGGCGTTAAGGCACTATTGGCTAGTGGACTTGCAGAAACCCCCGGCAATGAGCTGGAGTTACAACTGGAAACAGATCCKGTCAGCACAGACATCTCTGAGGCACCTTTTCCGGCAGACATCTGCTCTCTTATTTGGCTGCTGCGTCTGGTCATAGAGTGTGATGGAGATCGTGGATGGCCACGCTGAGCTCCCGGGACCTGTCGTTTACTGCGCCGCTGGGGCCTTCTCGAGCTAGGGGATGTCTGGTGTGGTGAGAGGGAACCGGGGCTGCTCCCAGAAGATGACTGCAGGGTAACGGACTCAAATATCCGAGAGTGGGCCTCGCTGGGTGTAAAGCGTGGAGCACGGAGCAGTGGGCTGCGCTTTGGGAGGGATGCTTCGAAGCGGGATGAYGGGGGATGCTGGTGGTGAGCGTGAGGGTGAATGGGGGCAAATAGACGACTCCCTGCTCCTGCTCCTGGTGTTGGAAATGTAACCGAAGTGGGTCCCCCTGCTCCAGGCAACATTCCCACGTCTTCAGGMGTAAGAGGTGGAGGACGGAAATTGTCAAATATTGGCTTTCGAATGAGGCCCTCCTTGGCGTATTTAGCAGAGGAAAAATACTGCTGTTTAGGGTGGGACAGGGATGTCCAGCGGAAGGTGGGCTCTCTCAGAATTGAGCGACTCCGTTTGTCTGACAGGCTGGAAAGCACTGAYGGCCCAGGCATGAATGTTGGAATGGTTTGAGACATCCAGGATGATTGGGCGTGGTGTTCACTGATAGCAGCTGTATTAGAGGAGCTCGACAGGGGAGGCTGTGGAGCAGCAAGGAGAGGCGGAGGTGTAGGTGAAGAAGGAGATGAAGCTGTGGAGGACGTTTGCTGAGAATTTCCAAGAGTAGAGGAGGTCATCAGCACTCCTGTTGGTGGGCTGATGAGTGGCTTTTTAACTCCAGTGGGGAGACTCTCTCTCACCCTCTGCTTCTGACTTCCCCTACCAGCCCCCTGTGCTCTYCGACCTCTTCGACTCCTCTCGGGTTCTGGTTCAGAGGGAGGAGATGCAGGCCTTGAGCTGTGTAACAGGTTGGCCTCCCTTTCTCCCTGTGAGGACAGAGAATGATCCTCTGGCTCTGACAAAGCCTGTGTGGCCTCAGAAGCCTGGGAGTCACAAGATGAGTCATCCAAGCTTGGGCTGCTGGACCTGGAAGACTCTGCAGAGGATAGTTGGGAGGAATGCTGTGACACAGCACTTGAGCCGCACGATGGCGCGCTATGGCTAAATCTTCCATTGGCTGCGTTACTGGTGTTGCTGTTAAGCAGACTGGAAGCTGATGCTGGGACAGTGGGAGTAGGGGCAGGGGATGATGGAGGAGGGAGAGATTCAACAGGAGCAGTTGTAACACTGCTAGTAGCAGCAGGAGTTACGGACACGAGGGCAGGAGAAGGGGATGAGGAGGTTGTAGATGTTGGTTGGGCAGGTGTTGGAACAGATGAGGGGGGTGGCTCCAACCGTGCTATCTTTGTATGGGGTTGAGGGGTTCCAAAACTGCCCTCATCTTGAATGAAGCGCTTTGGAGTTTTAATGATGCGGAGGGAAACAGTGCTGACCACAGGCATGATGAACTGCCTAATGTTCTTAAGTTGGGTTTTTCTGATGCCAGCCTCAGTGGCGCCGGAGCCACTCCCCCCAATGGCCTCTTTCTCCAGCCGCTTCTGTGCTCCTTTCTTAGCACGCTGCAGCAGCTGTTTGGCGATGGTTGCATCAGTTCGTTTGGAAGGGGGAACAATTCTGACTGGCTTTCTGTGCCGAGGGCTTTTTCTGAGGCCCACTGGCCTACCTGGTTTGGAGGGAGATGGGGAGGCAGGTGGATTGGAAGAGTCCTGCTTCTCATCCACATTCCTTAGCATGGACGACTGAGTTGTGTGTGGTTCTGTGCCTTTGTCTCCACCCCTGACTCTAAAAGTCTTGTGTTTCCCTTCCCCACCTTCAGTGGAGGTAGACAGCTGTGCAGCAGCAGCTGCTGCTTCAGCTTTGAGCCGTTCAGCTGAGGGTGGTCGCCCACGTCGGCGTCGGGGTACACCAGGCAAAGTTTTGAGATGTGACTTGAGAGGGGTGATTTTAGTCTCTGTCAGCCTTTTCAGGGTGGAAACTTTGGATTCACTCCGTCCACCTTTGGGAAACTTTGCCTCCGTGGCATGAGGCTGTTCAGAGCCCACTGACAGCCTCTTGTTGCCTTTTCTGTCCTTATCATCCTCTGTGTCCACACCCAGTTCAAACTCAGCCTGCCTGCTGTCCTCCCCTGTAGCATGGTTGCCTGTGCTCCAAGCTTTTTTATTGCTTGAAGAAGGTGGCCGTCCTCTTCTCTTCTCTCCGGTGCCAGGTGGCCTCCCGGGAAGCCTTTTAACTTTTTCTGCTGGCTGTTCAGGAACGTCGGGTTTCGCTGGCGTTGGGGAAGGAAAAGGTGAAAGGGAAGGCAGACTTGAAGCAACCTTCTGGGCAGTCAGGACTCGCGGTGGACGGCCTCTGGGCTTTTTCTCCTGTACGGGTGGGACTGTTCAGAAAACGAGAGCGTAAACAAAAAAAGCATAAGCATGCAACGATAACAAAAAAACTGATTTTCAAACAACATAGCTGTCTCAATAAACTAAACCAGTATTGTTGAATTTTGGAGTAATTTTACCTGGAGAAGTTGCTGAAGGGCTCTGTATTTCTATTTGCTCAGCAGTCGCTCCAAATCCTACAAACGCTTCATCCTACAAAACAAAACAAGACAAACATTGAATGACTTAATATTTGTAAGCTTTATGTTTTAAACTTAATTTGAAAACCCAACTTGTAAAAACCGTTACCGCTAATGAATGACACACAGATGTTAATCTTATTTTTTTAAAACAATCAGACATACTATCCTTTAATGTTTTATTGATGTATTTGTGGTACTTTTCTATATATTAAATGATCAACATCTAACATGTTTTTCTTTAGAGACAAATAAAATGTTTATATAGATATAAACTGTAATGTATTGATGGTGGGACTATAAATTCTTACTGTCAAAGTTTAACAAAGATCATTCTGGAATGATCAACATCTCAAGCATCCTCTGAGCACTGTTACATTACTTTTTACAGTCAATGTGTTTAAGAGCGGAGGTGAGTGTGTCATTTCGTCATGTTTATTTATAGAGGCGAGTAGGGATGCAGTTGAGGTCTTSTTGGCCTAGTTTAGAGAGCAGCTGCTGTCCAGGTGTATGCACATGGCTAAATGGTGACAGATTTTGCACCAGATAGGAGTTACACATATCACCATGGGGAAAAAAAAACAGATACCAACAACATGTACAACATGGAAATCCGTTTAAAAATATTGAATGCTATAATGTGAGCTGCAAAACAGCCTCTTTCATCTGATCAACGTATAAATAAACTGCTGAAACAGGCGGTAAATGTTGCTGTTTATCCTGGCAAGCATCATTAATCTGAGCATCTGATGCTCCTCGTAATGCATTCAAGCATCTTCTCCTATTTACACTTCTCTCTCTCCTCTTCCCTCTCCTCACTGTAACGCCAGCATCCTCTCCTCCTCTCTGAGAAAGCTGCTGCTCCTCCATCAGTGGTGTTGCAGAGCCGAAGGGGGGGGCGGAGTACCAATGGGCAGCGCTGACTCGCTGTGATGATGAGTGGCAGTCAATGACATCACAACATGCTAAGCTAGAGGCGAGCACTTGAAGCCCACTACGCAGATGTATATGTACCCACGCACATGCACGCTGGATGTATTTCTCTATTTTCTGTGTGCCGTCGCAAACACCTCACACTTACATTAAGGGGGGATAAGGGAGAGGAAAAAAAACATGCGAAGAACACCCTGTGCATGAACTGCGCGTGAAGATGTAAACAAGCAGAACATAGGCGTGAGGATGCGGGGGAGGGGAGCACAAGTAAGTGCACCAGAGTGAGGATGGGAGGAGGGTTGTGGGAGAATGAAGAGAGAGGGACAAAAAAATGAGAGAGAGACTAGGAAACGGCATCTCGACCACATGCACCATCAACAACGGGAGCCCTGGATGAGAAGAGATTTGGGTTTTTAACATGTTCGCGCAGAAGCCTGCCCAAGGCCCGCAACTGAACAGGCCTACCACATACAGCAAGGCTCCTTTCTCCTCCCCTCTTATTTCTGCTCTCTGCCACGCTCTAAAACGCAGATTCGGCCGCTCATTCAAGCTCGCTTCGCGCCCACTGACTCCTGAGCACAGAGCAGCAGCGTGTGAAACACAAGGCTCACCATGAGCTCAATAGCAGGGCGGGCACGGGGAGGTAACTTCAGGAAGTAAACAAACACTGTAGTAGACAAGGGAGTTAAGATTTTGTGTTTCCTTGCCTTGCAACACACAAAGGATGGCAGGGTAACTGAAAGACATTTTTTTCTCTGTTCTCTTTTGCTTGGGTTTCACCTCTTCATCTGATAAACGTTCTTCATCTTTTGCGTGCTTCTGTCAACATGCACACTTTAAAATTTTGGACAGCTTCACTTCTACTGATTTGACACATCTCGTCTGCATACAATATTACTTAGCAGAAATAATCAAAGAACAAGAGAAATGGACACCAGCCTGATTCATATTCATAACGAAAACAAAACGGGTAGTTTCAAAAAGGTGCGAGGGGCAGTCCCTGACACTTATGAGACGGATGGGAATTGTGTTTGAGTTGCACTTCTCTGTATCATTCTGATAGAGCTTTTGCACTTTGAGATGACTTAAGGGACTTTTACTGTCTTTCAAGTCAGTATTTAGGAGAAATCAAACTGACTAAAGATAAATGCCTGGATATTAGGTCAGTAGGCAGCCTCAAATCCATTATAGTTGTTTTTCAATCCTGTAACTGTGCTTGAATGCATCCCATACATATGTAACAAGCCCTACACCATTGCTGAACTGACCCTTTCAATTAACTGTACTTCTAAAACCTGTTTGAAACTATAAAACATTTGCTTTAAATATCATTTTAAAACTAACAAAGAAATTCATATCACTAGTAGCTAATCTGTCTTGCAATACAGGGTAGACAGCATGAAAACCCTATCTGGTTTAGGGTTGGACAGTATTGGCAAAAACATTAATCACGATTAATTGTGGTATTTAGCCGATAACGATTAATTTGACGATTAATCACCTGGAGTCCCTGGACACCCTTATGTCCTAGTCACATGACCAATTTAGTGGGAAAGATTTGCGCTTCGTAAAAATCCGTTCCAAATTGTGCCAAAATTATAGACTTCAGGCTATACACCTAATTTTAAATTGTGTTGATAGATAAATAAATTACAGAACTTTTTTGATGGTGTCATGGACTAATTATTTATCTGTTTTCCCCTTGACACTGTTCATTTTGTATCTTTCTGATAGCTCGTTACGCTCTCGTTGTCTGGACAACGGGAATCCATGATGGACTGGGTGTGAGCCTTGTGATTGGCTGAACAGTACATTTGGCGATCTATGATTGGTTGTAAACTGACACATGGGTTTGGCCTACGGTATATTATTGGCTGTATTCTGCTGACGCCCCAGCAGCAAGCAGGCAGAACCTTCCTGATTTCAGTTCTGTGTGGTTGTTGCTCACAATTAAAATCAYATTTGATTATCACATACGCAGACTTTTCTCGTATTATTCCAACGTGTTTCTGCATTTGCCACCACAATTAATTGGCGTTGTCAATTACGGAAGCTTCGAGGAAYGGAGAGCGCTCGCTGCGGCCGGCTGTTTGTCTGGGAGATACCACGGACCGGCAACGGAAGCTGACCTGGTTTTTTTGTCTGCTCCGGGTTTTTGTGGGTCTGTCATTCGGTCGACCGCTGTGAGTGGTGTTCCGAGACTGGAGCTAAAAGAACCTACGATTATGCCCAACCTTAATCTGGTTGGAGCTCCTCAAACAACCACAGCATCAAGTTCTTATCAGAAAGACAAAACTCCACTCATGCAACCAGTAAACTCAGCAAACAGTACCAAAATCATTTTTCTTCTGTCATTTTCGGAACTTGCTGTATTCTAATTCTTTTTGCAAAACTAACAACAAATGCTACAGATGACAGAACCAACATATTTGTATAACAAATTAGGGTTTGACTACAAACAAATTACAAACAATGAACTGATTTTAGATCATATGAGATAAACCAACAATTGTACCTGCATCATACTGGCACCAATGAGACTGACTCATTGTTATAACAATTAATATATGCAGATAAATTGCTGAAGCGTTTAAGAAAAATACAATCAACATGTTTTATGAGGCATATCTTGATTAAGATTTTTTAGCTGTCATATTTATTTGGTGTTGAACCAACTCTGAGTGTCAGTTTCAGAGCTGTATCGATTGAATATCGATTAGGTGCATTCGATCACATCAATATGTAGTCGACACATAATTTTTGCAATCTTATCTTTTATCAAACATTTCAAATGATTTCCCACACACCATTTATACGCTACAGTTCCACTTCCAAACTATCACAGCAGATAAGACTGACTGCAGCTGCGACAATGTTTAACGAACTAGGTTAAGTTTGCAAAGGTCAACAGGGTCTTCAATAATGGAGTTTTTCAAACTAGCTGACATAAAAAGGCTAGTTTGCATGTTCAGGAAGATTTCCTTGGCCTTCAGCAGCAGCAGCAGAACTGCTGCACAAACACAGCAGAGCAGTGAAGAGCCAGCAGGAAAAAAAAAAAACCCTGGGTTTTTTTTTTAAGCTGCTAAATGCCCTCTAAGAAGTTAGACGGGCAAGTGTCTGCAGCATTTTTCAGTGAATAAATGTGTGGGAAAACCTTTAGACTAGAATCTGGGTCTATGTTTGATAACACTGTGCATGGTGCTATGTTCCAAGCAGCACTTTTTTCCCCTTCATCTCTGTTGCTTTAAGGAATGATATTTTAAATAAAATGCTTAAAACTAAGTTGATTTCTTTTGGCAGTGTAATGTGCCTCTGTTTGGATATGCTAATTAGCCACGTGCTAATTATTTTTGCACTGAAAGCTACGAATGTAAACACAGACAGGGAGTTGAAGTGAACTTGGTGACCTCAATGCTGATTAGTTAGATAGACCTGATWTAATTCTTTAAAGCAAAATCAAGCATTATATCCCAACACATTCTCACTCCCAACTCGTAACATATTGATGCTTGGTCAGGTTCTACCTGCGTCAGGTTTTGACGCGCCAGGAAGCCCATTCACATCAGTCATTGACTAGATGAGAATGAGGAGGAACCTGTCATATTTTTAAAAAGTATAGAAACTGAGCTACAACCCCTAACCTGACTGCCTAAACCGATAACCCTGATCCCTAAACTTAACCACGGACCCCAACCCAAAGACCTAATCCAACACGACAATAACTGAGTTTTAATTAAGCCCCAATATTACTCATTTAAGACATGAAAACATTAGAACAAGTCGGTTTGATGCTGAAGAACACATGCACAGATATCTTTCTTCCCCACTAGTTTCAAGCAAAAAAAAGATTAATCTAATTTTCACATTCCAGGATGCTTTCCTTTTAGATGCTCTGAATAGATACTGTAATCATCCTTCCCATAATATAAAGTAGTGATGAGCTCATTTATGCACTGATGACACATAACTTGGAAAAAAAAGCTGGCCCCGGGCATAAGGTGAGCATTTGTTCTACAAATGTTTAAACCCAAATGTAACCACTTGACATAGTTTGCATCTCAGAACACATTATGGTAGGATACCTTCTCTTCCTACATAAAAATTTGAAAAACAGTCTGTGGACAAAGACAAACAGACTGATTGGCGCGTGGGTATGGTTTGTCTTTCACACACACACACAAAAACACACACACAGACTGTGGCACTCACACAAGCTAGCAGACGCAGACGGCACACGACCACTCCTCCTAATCTTAGGAGGCAGTACGAATTAAAGTTTTAATCAAAATAAAGACAAAGAAAACACGCCTACTTCTGATTGCAATCAGGAACGAAGACAAAGTCTGAGAGACACCCCTGCCCCCCGGGGACACCCCTACCACCACAAACACAAAGGGAAAGAAAGACGACACAATTGCCGCCTTTCTCCCAGTCAGGCAACTCCTAAAGCAGAGGTGAAAGCCTCTTGCCCGCCTGCTGTAGCAGAATAAAGCCATGGATGGGAGGGTCTGGGACTAATTCTCCACCCAGCGCTGTCCCGTTGGGAAGAGGGGGGTCGACTGGCCCGGCGCCCTTGGATATCCCTGCCTGCACTCTTTCAGGCACTTTGTGAGAACTAGAATAAAAGCAAACACAAAGCTTCCTGCTCCAATCCACACACACTGTCTTGGGAATGGGTAAGCGGGTGTGGGGGTCCTCCATTTAAATAGGCCAAACACCTGCTGGACTGAAGCCCCTTCCGCTCGAGCACACCACTTCTCTCAAAACCAGTGAGGCAAAGACACATTTAGATTGATACATCTACTCGCGTTGCATTCGTGGATGAGCGATTAAACCTTATTAATAACATGCAAGTAAGGATGGACACAGCAGACGGCGYGCTACAATGGACCAAGAACAAAAAAGGAAACGAAGCAAAGCTTGATTTGAGAAACGGTAAAAACTGGGGTTGARCTATAAGAGGGGGGTGACAAAAAAGATCACGATGGTTAGTATTCTGATTTAAAACGAGTGATAATAATTTGCGCAGATCAAGAAACAGTTCTCGTCACCCAAACAAAAGCTAATAAATGCCTTCATTTGGACGGCAACAGCCAATGAGCACCCCTTTGAGGCACTCCAATAGGCTTAGTAATCCATTCCAAAGTGGCAGCTGTCAGAAGAAAAGTTGCTCTGCCTCTCAGACAGGGTTGTGTGCATCTGAAGTGGATTTGTTTTTTTTTTTTCTCCCTGCCTGGATGGAGAGGAGGAGGGGTGGTCGACTGTCCGGCTGGCACTCTGTTCAGGGCTGCCCTGTGAGCTCAGTATGTTGCAGYGAGTCTGAACAACTGTGCCTCGATCTGGCCAGACAAGCTCTTGACACTGCTTTTTGATGAAATCACCATGCTGTGTCCGCAACTTCCATAGGCTTCAGGTCTCATGGGGATTTAACGGTCTAGTCTGTGTCCACACAGTCCAAATAAAACAATAATAAGCCAGARAAGGAAGGAGGCACCCATATGGACGCCTAAACAATAAAACCCTACAGCTGAGAGATAAAAGAGAAATAATCAGAAAAAAAAAATCTGAAATCACAATGCTGTCTCTCTGCCTTTTATCTTTATCTTTATCTGTCTCTATCTTTTTTTTACAGTTAGAGCAATAAAAAGGATTATATGGTTTTGCCTGTTCTAAATACTAGATATTGATTGCTACATTCATACTATGTCCTAGTGAAGTTACTGTAGCTTATTGTAGTAAGAGCATGTTGCAGTAAAGCTGTRATTTTTCAGACCTTTTTCATCTTTTTCTTTTCATGTGTCTGCAAATAATAATAAMTGAAGTTATTATAATGTGCATTTTTAATAACTTTAAAACGTGATAGCGTTTCCTATCGAGGTTTAACTGTTAAGTTAGCATCTATGCTAAGTGTTGGTCAGCAGCCTGTGACCAAAGAGGTTTTATGTTGTTGTTGTGCACCCTATATTAGGCACACACACAAAAAAAACATATCTGTGTTCATTTATGCAAAATAAACCTGTTTAAACTTAAACTTCAATAATCGTTTTCTATCCATCCATATCACAACCTGAACCGAATCAGGAGATGCCTCAAAATTCCAAACTTGTTTTCATGGAATGATATCTTTTATTTGATTAGAAAACATATACTTGCAAAGTAATAAAAACTCAGAAAAAACACATGTACTTAAGCTTCATCAATATTAAATTGTCCTCACATCCAATGTGGTACCATTTTTCCTGACCTTAAGAACTAAAAATGTATCTTATTAAAAAAAACACAAACTAGAAAGCATATTCTACGAAAGCTGTCTGGTGCTTTTCTCTAAGGTTAAAAACCATCAGAACTGCCGGGGGGNATTTGGAATACATAGAAAAATAAATTAATTTCCAGAATCAAAATATATTAAAAATCCACCAAAAATGCAAATGAATACAGCTGTACTCCAGGTAAACAAATGTACAGTATGAGCTCAGATCCGAGGCTTTGGACGTGATGGTAAACAGTGAACTCCCACTGCAATGAAAGGCATGCTGCTCTTCATGGAGGAGGAAGATTCGCTAAGGCGAACACACCCCCACATCACACGGTCCGTCAAGAAGGGGCTCGTTGTTATTGTAGCCAGCCCTGCCTGCATGCGCACTGTCGCTACCGAGCCTTATTCCTTAAAACCTCACTAAATTAGCCTCCCCCCTAATAAATAATCCCGTCATCATACTCTTTTCATCACGTCTAGGATGGATACGGCGATTCTCAGAATGTGGCTGAGATTCAGACGTCATGATATCCCAATATTAATGTACTAGCTACGTACTGACTGTAGAGAAGGGGAAAACATGTCCACCTCCCATTTTCTTATGCATCAGCAATAGCCCCGATGGCTAGCGTGGCGTAGTGCGTAGCATCATGTTAGCTATAACGCTAAAAAGCGATGGTAATATTATAGTTTTTTTTTTTTTTTTTTTTTTTTTTTTTTTTTTTTTTTTTTTGTAAAAGCTCCGCCAACTTTTACCCCCCTCTCTAATGATTTCGTTCTCCGTAGCGAGGCTCTAGTCGGGAGGGAAACGCGACCAACCTCCTAAACGCAACTTTACCACAGAATGATGGGAGTTTTTAGCTTGTGGCAAACAGCTAGCCTGCGTGCTAACCGAGCAGCTATGAAAGCTTGACACCTCAGTGCTAAAAAGTGAGCCCTTGTAGCTCACGTTTCTAATACTCGGTTAATTGTTTAGCGGATAAAGATTATCCGACATAAATCTGAATCGGGCTGAGGGGAGTACCGAGCAAGTCCTTCCAGGAAATGCTGCAGACGGACGCTACGTTGACGTTAGCTCATGATTACCACAACAGTGGTTCTCTGTCGCTTCCTTTAGTTGTTTCCAAACACACGCTGCCCCCGAATGTCCTGCGTTGTTACACCATACAAAGACGTAATAAAACATGCTGATTAAGAGCTAGGTTTATATGGGACTTTAATATTATTGCATATTTGGGATATGAACTTTTGGTGTCATAATGAATTTAAAGGAAACAAGCAAAAGCTTCCAATCTAGCTATCGCTGAGTTAACTAATAAACCGGTGGTAATTATATAGTTACAAAGTGTGTATAAGTCAGCAGCCGTTCTGGTACCTGGCCCATGTGTTATCTGGGCTGCATGGGGTAATAAACCAAGTAGAACCGGGGATTTATTTATTTTCTGTGTGGTCTCTGGCTAGCACACCAACGTTAGCATCAGTGCATCCATACCCGTGTGGATGTAGCATGTCTTCCCGAAGACGAAAACTTTGCTTCTTGTAGAACGGGCAGGTAGCGGGGTAAGATGTCGATGTGTGTGATCTTTCTAAATAAAGTTAAACTATATTAACACGTAACTGTGGAGTTTAAGGCCACGCCAACTCAAAGTTAACTGAGCATCCTTGCAATGACAAGTTTGCGGACAGCAGATGATGTTTCGGGGACAGTAACCGTTAGCCCCTCTTCTCTGGGGCGGGGGGATACCAGGACCGTGTGCCCCGCGACTGTCTAACCGACGCTCGCAGCGGGTCTTGGGCTTACCTCTGCGCTGCTCGAGTCGCTCGATTCCCCCAAAACCTCCCGGAATTTCTGCAGGTTGCTCCCGATAACCGAAGAGACCTGTAGTGCAGCATCAAACCCGGGTCCGAGTCCAGCTGCGTTGGGCTGGGTTCCCGATACACTCCGCAAAAAGGCAGTAACCCTGATTCGGCCCGCTCTCCTCCCGGTGCCGGAGTTGCTGCTCCCTCCGGGCCGAGCGGGGAACCGCCACCGACAGCTGTGCGCCATTTTACACTCTCTGCCTGTCTGCCCTACGATCAGATACCTCGGTGGGCGGAACCCTAACCCAGCACTCCACATAAACAACCTCTACCACAGCGCTCCGCTTTACTGACGAGCTCATCGTTATGCAGGTTGCGGGGCTGTACTAAAAGAAACCCCGACAATGCATTTTCCAAGTCGCTCTTTGCACGGCTGAATTCAAATCAGGTTCAGGGGTTTTGCCCGGGAAACGACCTCTTGCTTGAATCCCACGCAAAGAGAGAGGAACAGATTGTTGCGCGGTTAATTCATTGAACATGGAATTGAAAGAACCTCATTAGATGCAGATAAATTTACAAAAGTTACTAATTTAACTGCACTATAAACCAAACTATTATTTGTCTATAGAACATGGAAATAATGTTTTATTTTTCAGTAAATTAACTTATGGATCCCAGCACCCTCAAGACAACATGTAGGGGTCAGCAGACAGTGTACACTGAATATAAAATATTTTGTATATATAAACAAAGAAAAATAACTTTATACTGTGTCGCAATTACAATTCCCCATATCCCACATTATTGCTTTGGTTTTAAGATTGAGCAAAGTAAAAGCACAGGTTATGTTGACTTTTTTACACATGCATGAATATTCACAACAATTGCTGGTATTTAAATAGTTTAAATGCAATTGTTAAACATTGTTTGATGTATTACATTTTATTTTGTGTTGATGTTTGTGGCTAGAAAATGTCAGTATGTTAAAACTGCATCAAAAAAACATTTTGCATCAATCTATAAGCAAAATAAATGGCAAGAACTGATGTCATAAGTTTACTTAAAGGATGCTCCATAGGGGAATATTTCAGCAATTACCCTTTGTGAATTTGTGAAGTTTAAAATTGCAAAAATGACTGTTTTTAAAGCCAGCCATAATTATCACATAACAGTAATAGATACCTTAAAGTCGCATCCTCTGAAAAAAATAAACCAGAATTGAAAAACCAGCTTAGGTCGTGTCACCCTGACTATCAAAACCGACCAACATGCAGAGCCAAAAACAATGTAGAAAATCAATGCTCACAGCATGGTTTTTGTTCTGATGTGTTTCCAAATGAAGGATTAAAAATAGTTGAACTTTAGAGACATTTGGAAATAAAACACTTCCCTTCCATAGCTGCAAAACATTAGTTTTTTTTAAACCTGACTTTTAAAAGGAAAACTATGGACTCAAAAGCCAGTAGACTCTCAAAGGTTCACTTTAAATGGCGTATCTGGTATCGCAGCCAAAAAACAATAGTCCCACGTTGTCTTTCAAAGCCTCTGCCTGCAGCTATTGAAATAACACAAGTGCTGCGTGGAGATGAAATAGTTTGCACACTTGAAATCTTTCTGTTACCAGATGGCACATTCAAGTAAGTGGTAAATTTATTTCTTGGAGAATGACATAAAAAGCTTGTCAACAGAGAAGAAAAAAATGGAAGATTTTCACTCCAAAAGGATGAAATAAATATGTCAGGTAATTGAGATGCAGCCATTAGAATAACCTCCCCTACTAAAAAAACAAAAGAACAAAAATACTTAAAATTTTCACTTTAAGGTACCAGCTTCACAGAGAAAAACTAAATATTCTAGTGTTTTGACATCTTGCACTTTTTAATCAAGATATACAAAATATTCTAATATTCTAAATTGCGAAAACTTCAAAGTTTCATTCTTTTAAATAATCTCAAAGATGTGTGATGATAAAAATTCATTTTCACTTTTTGAATATTTAGTGCTTGAAAGAGGCTCTGTTCTATAGTTTTGAATAATTCACATGCAAAATTAATTCATACTTTATCTAATTCAAGTCAATTTATGTGAAAAAGGTTGAATTTGYATGTCATTTACATTTAATGAAATTTTCTTAAGACTCAAGGTAAAATAAAAAAATGCATTGAAACTAAGTTAAATGTACTAAATAAATGAATTTAAGTGGATGCATCTGATATGAAGAGAGGTTTTTCACCCACACTGTATTCTTAAGCACTTTTGCAAATATTCTGTACTTCAAAAGTTTAATTGCTGGCTAAAAGCAATTTTGGACACCACTGTAGTATCATGGGCAATGTTGAATTGGATTTTTGGGCAGACCTAAAAAGGCTTAAAAACMATGTCCAACTCTGACACACTCAACATGGACCAGAGGAAGCGAATGAAAGAGTTGTCTCAGGAGATTAGAAATAAAATTATAGACTATTATGTTAAAGGTAAAGGTTATAAGACCATCTCCAAGCAGCTTGATGTTCCTGTGACTACAGTTGCACACGTTATTCAGAAAATTTAAGATCCATGGGACTGTGGCCAACCTCCCGGGACAAGACTGCAGGAGGAAAATTGATGACAAATCAATGAGACGGTAACAAAAGAGCCCAGAAAAACTTCTAAAGGGATTAAAAGTGAACTTCAAGCTCAAGGAACATCAGTGTCAGATCGTGCCATCCATCCATCGTCGTTTGAGCCAAAGTGGACTTAATGGGAGATGACCAAGGAGGACACCAAATAATAAAAAAGCCAGACTGGAATTTGCCAAACTACATATTGACGAGCCACAACGCTTTAGGGAGAATGTCCCATGGACAGATGAGACAAAAATGGATGGAACTTTTTGGCAAGGCACGTAAGCTCTATGTTCACAGAGGAAAAAATGTAGCACATGAAGAAAAGAACACTGTACCTACCGTGTAACATGGAGGTCTGTTATGTTCTGGAGCTGCTTTGCTGCATCTGGCAGGGTGTCTTGAATCTGTGCAGGGTACACTGAAATCTCAAGACTATCAAGGGATTCTAGAGAGAAATGTGCTGCCCAGTGTCAGAAAGCTTGGTCCCAGTCGCAGGTTATGGGTCTTCAACAGGATAATGACCCAAAACACAGCTAAAAACACCCAAGAATAGCTAAGAGGAAAACACTGGACTATTCTGAAGTGGTCTTCTACGAGCCCTGACCTAAATCCTATTGAGCATCTTTTGGAAGGAGATGAAACATGCCGTCTGGAAAAGCCACCCTTCAAACCTGGGACAACTGGAGCAGTTTTCTCAAGAGGAGTGAACCAGAATACCTGCAGAGAGGTGCAGAAGTCTCACAGTTACAGGAATCGTTTGATTACAGTGATTGCCTCAAAAGGTTGTACAACAAAATATTATGTTAAAGGTACCATCATTTCTGTCCAAGCCTGTTTCATGAGTTGAAAAGCAATGTCTGGCTTTCATTAGTTAATTTTCATAGAATTTTTATTTATTATTTTTGTCAGATTCAAATTATATCTGTGATCATTGTGGGTTTTTCTTTCACTAAACGAGGGGTACCAACAGTTTTGTCCACTTGTGTAAGTAGACTTAAAGTGGACTGAAAAGAACATAACATCATGTGTTAGTTACATAAGTTTATTTCTTAATCTTACTGTACATCCAAAATAAACATTTTAAAGTCAGATTAAACAAAAGAAACTTGCATTGGAATTAAAACCATGTGATTAAGTAAGGTTGGTAGATGTTCAACACGGTACGAGAGCATGCCAACAAATCTKTTCTTCACATTTTATCATTTCCTATTTCAAATCAACTTGTCCTTCTTTACGACAATCTACAAGCAAACTCCAAAAGCTCCTCCAAAATAATAAAAAAAAAAGTGTCATGAGTATGAAACAGGTCCTCGTTCTCCACAAGGCGTTTGGGATTTAGGCACCAATTCTACTGATCAACTGTTCGCCAATGACTTAAAACACTACATTTTAAGAAAAATAACAAATCAAAATGCTATAATGTATCTGATGAATGTTAATTTAAATTGCTAAAATTATTCCAACCTATATTTTTGTCTTTTCAGGTTCAATCTCAATAATTGTGGTCACTAATGACCAGAAAAATCATCTCCCCATAGAAATTAAATCAAACTGAATCCAGTCAGTGAGACAAATCAGTAATTTCCTCTGTGCCCAATTGCTATTACAGCGAGGCATTTTAGAGTATTTAGAGTATCTGAGACATCTGTGGGTCTTTTGATATCGAAATGCCTCAGTTTTGACGGTACCCTCTCGTCTTTCAGGGTCAAGAGCAACCACTCAGTCCCCATTATCATTGTCTGAAAAAGGCGCTTTTTCAAATTTTATGCATGAAGGTCACTGTGCTCGTCAGCCTGCAAACGCAGCTCTGAGGGATCGTTTCTAAAACAGTGGAGGTATTTTCAATTTTAGACAAGTTGTAACAACCCCCCCCCCCCCCCACAAATGTTTCCTACTTTCACAGAACGTTACGCTGTTATTTTAGCAGCGATGTGCCATAAAACTGCTGTAAACAGCTTCCGCATTATACTGCCAAAAACGCCTAGAAATCTTACTGTTTCTTTTAACTTAGCATGACTTTAACAGTTTTAATGGTTACATATTTTAATTCAACAATGATGAACTCTCCCATTAAAAATCTAAGGTATTAAAATACCCCTGCAAAAAAGGTTTTGAAAGCCTAAAACAAGGTAGAATATTTTCAGTCAACAGTCTCCGCTAAGTAGATTCAGTAGATTCTTCATAGCCTGCTTGAGATTCACACAAAAAGTGCAAACATATGGTAGTCTTTGAGAGGCAGTGTGTAATAGATACTTTCTGTATGAGAGGGAAATAAGTTTGAAAGTATAAACAAACATGTTCTTGTTTTAGCGCTCCCAAAAATACTTACCTTGCATTATAAAATCAAAATTGAACCAGCTGCTTAGTTGAGCTGCGGGTTCTGCCCACAGTTCGGTCTGTAGCAATTACAGAAGCATCATCCTGCTAGTGTTTACACAATAGGGCATCCTGGGATCACATAGCAGTCACTGTGCATTGATGTGGAAGTTGTTGCCTGCAGGTGGGATACAGTTTGTTGCAGAGATGATCCGTTAAGCAGGAAAATTGCATGAAAAAGGCTAACGCAGCGTCAGCTGGAGAAAAAGAGAAGTGGGAATAAATCCACAGAGGTAAGCCCACTCTGGATTTTATGGGTTTGCCGAGAAGCAGCGGCGTGTGTGAGCCAGGGAGGGAAGAGTTTTTCACAGTAAATAGGCGAGGACTAGCCGCTGGGTCCCAGCTGCAGCTTCTCCTGTTTATGCTTCTTCAGCCACTGTAAGATCTGCTGTTTGAGTTCCTCGTTTGGCCTGATCTGGTCCATGGTTAGAGGACTGCGGTTGAAAGGGTCTGTCTGGTCACTGCCAGGAGAAAAAAAAAACATATTTTTAAAACTCCATCCTTATTCAAATGTTTGAATTCACTTTTAGTGAAGGATGATTTTCTCTGTTCAGAGGTGCAAACCTGAGGAGGTGTCTCGCTATGGTTGAGCGGTCCACCGTTACATTGGAAGACGGGAGAAGAACGGGATCCAACATCAGGGTGGACATGATGGGGTCCAAGAACTCATCTGGAGCATCTGCATAGGTTTCTTCTTCCTGCTGCTGCCTATCTGCGTGAGACTGAAAAGAGGCACAAAGATAAAAATTTTTTAAAAAGCATCAGCTGTGTTCTTTTAGACTGTCGTATAAATTCATAAAGATTCACACTAATGTCTGACAAACCAAAGGTCAAACTCTACCTTTATTTTATCAGCAATGACACCAAAAGCCACGATCATGTCACCAGGTTTGTTGATCTTCTTCAGCACACGGAGAGTCTGGGAGAAGAGGGTGGGAGAATACGACCGGCCGTCCTTTGGGACTGTAGCACAGAAATTCTCCTCATCGCTGTCAAAAACCAAAACAAAAAAAAAGAGATTTACTCAGCAGGACGTCATTCTATTTCTTCTCATCAACATTTAAACTCCATAAAGGATATATTAAACAAATTCTAATTACAAAATTTAAAGGGTACCCCAGATTTAGGTAGATTGTGCAGATGTCCGAAACAAGCTGCTGTGGCTTGAAGTCAAACTCGCTGAAGTCCTTGACTTTAAGAGCGCCCATCTTCGGACCAACCAGGTGCTGCAGAAAGTAGTTCAGCATCGAGATGATCCTCTCAGCCAGGAAGGGGTGCACAAAGATACTTTTAATTTCTGAGAGAGAAACCGTCACAGAAAAAAAATGGGATTAAATATTTATAAAAGTGCATAAATGCACTCTCCAGATTAACCCTTTCAACTTCCTGCAGGTGCAAAATACAGAAACTGCTTATATTTTTCACTGATAACTTTTGATTCAATTCAATGCTAAAGATAAAAACAGTTCCTGAATCTATTTCCTGCATCCTTGGAAAAAAATAGAAGAACTGATCAAACACTAGATATGCAGAACTGAAAAAGTTGTTTCTATAAAAGCTGGAGAACAAATGATTTTCATTTCTAATAATTCTGTATTTGAAGCTTTTGTCTTCAAATATGGAGAGTTATCATGAACTGAGACATTAAACTGAATAGATTTCAATCCAGGTCTAAGAGTTTAACATTTTATAAGTCCACTATACAACTTTTCTTGTTATCTGCCTTGTTATCTTTATATATTTTGACATCAAATTATTTGTTTTTTAACAATATATATTAATGTACATATTTTAGAATTTCAAATATAGGTAATCATCTTAAGTGCATCATTGTTGTGCATTTTTATACAATACTGACCCCTGTCCCTTAGGAGGCCCAAATCAACATACAATACCTCAAAATACATAAATAATAAAATAACAACACATAATAGATATATAACAGCTACAATAAAGTAAATTGTAGTTTAGATAAAAACATAGGACTTCTCAAAAAATAAATGTAGACATTAAACAGAAAAGCCACAATAAACAATCAAACRAGAGTCAACCACTAAAGGTGAGGATAAGGAAGTCAGACATCTAACATAAAAGTTTAAATGCTAACATTTTTATCTTGTTTAAGACAACACATCCACAAAAAGTGATATATATATATA